ACTGTCCCTCTGGTTTCTTTCGTCCCTCTTTTGCAGGCTATTGTCATATTATATATTGTATGTGTGGAAATAATCTTCAGATATGAAGTTTAACTTGCTACTGGTATATTAAACTATGAAGAATAATTGAAATCAAAGTTAAAATTGTTAACAATAGAGAACAGTTGGATTTTTTAATGTTTCCTTTCACAAGCGTCAGGAGTGTGACAATCACATTGTTTTAATATATCTACCCATACTATGACAAAAACATGTTTAAGATTCATATAAAAATGCAATAAGAGCTCAGCCTGATAGTTCTGCCTAGTTATATATTGTCTTATCATTTTAAGCATAGACTATGGTTATATGTGTTTTTGTTTTGCTTAACACATATATATTAAATATTTTGTGTACAGTTAGACATATTGAATTTAACAATACAAAAATATCAAATATATAATTTTTCAAATGCAAAATGTATTTTTGATACATGTATCTATAATCATCACATCATTATAATTTTAGGATGCAGTTGCCATGGTTACACAGTCATGAATAAGGAATTTTAGCATTTTTTTTTGCTATATACAACAAAGTACTTAAAAAGTGTCTGACTCCTGAAATGAAAAATTGATCTGTTTAGCTATTTTGTAATTAACATTTCAGTCTACTATAATATTTTGTTTTTCTTTGATACAGAATATTACTACAAAAATAGATTTAAAAAACTCAGAATTTAATAGCATTTACTGCTGTCCAGAAGATACTTTCTGATTTTAACAGAGATGTCACACTCCTGACATTTTATGCCACACTCACAGAATTCTGTAATTCTGGTAGACAGATAAACATGATAAAGGAAACTTATTTTTTACTAAAAATACCAGTATTTCATCAGACCAAACATGAAACTTAAAAAAAAGCCTTATACTCTTTACTTATTGTTATTAAAAGTATTCATGTCAGGAGTGTGATATTTCACTGTAATTGCCAGGTTATACATGTTATAATAGCAGGGGGTTTCTGCTGTATTTGACCATCCACTTCTAAAATTCTTTTTGAATATGATTTCCTATGCATACATCTTTGGAAAAAAAATGATATGGTGAACAAAAACTTTGTTTATTGTTTTTAACAAAACTTCAAGTACTAGTTGTAGAAAAAAACCTTGAAAAAAAGCTATAAATTTAATATTTTTCAAATATTTTGACAAGTAAGTTTAGTACCAAAATGTTCCTCTCCTCTTTCTTGTTCATTTAGAATTATTGTTTGTATCCAATAAATGATGCACAAAGTTCTCTTTAGCTTAGAGGATTTCTAAATTTTTTTTTTACCTGAAATATTTTTCTGTTACTGTTGATATTGTTTTCTAGGCTTTTGTTTCATAAACTAATGGGTATCTGTAATTTGGTGGACCATAATTTATTTGAATTAAATGGTGTTGAAATTTTAATGAACTACCCTCTTCGTCACACTTTTGCTTCATTTTTATTGACTCCACCCACATGCATCCCTATAGTTTTCATTTAATCTGTCTGTCTATACATTTCTAGAGTTTTCTCTTAATCTGTTTGTCGATCTATCAATCCCTATAGTTAAGTTTTCACTTCATCTGTCCATCTATACATCCATAGAGTTTTCACTTACTAGTAATCTGTCTGTCCATCTATACATCCATATAGTTTTCACTTAATCTGCCTATCCATCTATATATCCCTATAGTTTTCATTTAATCTGTCTGTCCATCTATATATGCATTAATCCTATAGTTTTCTCCTAATCTGTCTGTACGTCTATACCTCCCTGATAGTTTTCACACAATCTGTCTGTCCATCTTTACATCCCTAAATATTTCACTTTAATCTGTTTGTCCATCTTTACTTTCCTATAGTTTTCACTTAATCTGTCTATCTATACATCCCTATAGTTTTCACTTAAACTGTGTCCATCTATACATCCCTATATTTTTCCCTTAATTTGTCTGTTTACATTGTACCTATACATCCTATAGTTTCTACTTAACCTATATTTCCAGTAGTTGATCTATGGGATTGTTAAAGAGTACAAAGTAAATTAAAGACAGTTTCCCCTGAGACTGTGAAGGGTTTTTAATCAAAAACCATTTTTGATTTAATACCATTACCGATAAATTTCTATGATGGCTTCCTTTCGTAAACAAATTATTAATTCGGGAATCTTTTGCAGAGTCGCTTCAGATCGTCCAATACGATCATGTCTCTCATTCTGGGAATGAAAAGTAAACATTTTCAAGATCAATAGGGAAACCTCGGACAAAATTTACTTGCATAATCGCTGTTTTCTGTATTTCTCCGTACAGGGGTTGCCATATCTTGTACAGCCATATGATCTTCTCTGGATGGGGACTGCACAACCTTTCTGCGTGTTGCAACAGGTCTTTCGTGAAATAGGTCTTGCCACAGTAGGTTTGTCAGGACATGATCATGGTAAAGGGGTGTTGAAAACGAAATACGTCCATTTCTTGGACCATGAATCATAAAGTAAACTTCGTCCTTTTTCAGTTTTTTCAGTTTTTGTTTTTTTTTTTGGGGGGGGGGTCCCGTCCGTCCTTAACAAATTGTCTCCGCTCTATATCTAGAGAACCGTTATGATTTCAAAGTTTATACTTGACATGTATATAAACCAACACCAGAAGGTGTGTCATAATGTATGTACAACTTCCTAGGTCAAAGGTCAAGGTCAAAAACTTTGGTTTCAGTTGACAACCCCATGTCCTATGGTAAAGATCGTGCCGTTCTATATCTTGAGAACCTTTATGATTTCAAAGTTTATACTTGACATGTATATAAACCAACACCAGAGGGTGTGTCATAATGTATGTACAACTTCCTAGGTCAAAGAGCAAGGTCATAAAATTTGGTTTTAGTTGACAACCCCATGTCCTATGGTAAAGATCGTGTCCGCTCTATATCTTGAGAACCATTATGATTTCAATGTTTATACTTGACATGTATATAAACCAACACCAGAGGGTGTGATATAATTCATGTACAACTTCCTAGGTCAAAGGTCAAGGTCATAAACTTCGGTTTCAGTTGACAACCCCATGTCCAATGATAAAGATACAAATTTTTTACCACACATTATTCACAGCGGGCAGGGGCGGGTCCAGGTGAGGACATCAACCTTAACTGATGTAAGGGCATGCTCGACTTTATTTCCAAACATCATGAAAGTTCTCATCTTACTTGCTTTGACGAGCGTCACGTCAAGCTCCACGGAAAGAGCTAACTTATCACTTAAGTTGATCAAGAATGATTGAGAAGCACCATGAAGGAGGATCGTCCAAATGCTCTGCTTCTTCTTTATGTTCACGCGAGAGACATTAAACTCGATTATGATAAAATAATTGACGATTATGCCATGAGAAATCCGCGTAAAATGGTTCTAATGAATCCACTCTAGTCTAACCATTCATTGAAAATGAGAGTCCGTCAGTATTTTTGTGTTCATTTTAGGTTTTTGCGTTCAGGTACATTTATACTAGTAACATGTATATTTGGTATAGCATTTTTACTTCCCATCTGGATAGCATTTGGTAGTATCATATTGTTTCAATATCCATTTATAGTGAGTAACTAAGTGACATTGACCTACATTTTGCCATGAAGTTCAAGCACCATATTTATTTATGTACCATATACCACCTATTAGAACTGGACAGTGACATGATCGCTTTGATTTAGTACTGTAATACAATGACGTCAATTTTTCATTTTCAATCATGTATTCCACATTAAAGCCTAAAATATTTAGAACGAAATAACTTTATACTTCAGTGTTTGTTTGTCTTGTATCATATGTGTCGTTCAACGAAACCAGAACTTAATCTAATATAGAAAGATATTTATCAGTCTGGCTACTTCATAATTTGATGAGCTTCTAAGCTTTCCCATGAACCCTCTAACAGGGCAACCGTTATTACGCCTCCCTTTCATAAAATCCTGGCCTAGTACTATTGAAATGTTAAGTAACGCTTTATACCCTAGAATTTGGAATTTCTCGTTATTGGTCTACTGCTGTTAAGATCCATCCAATCATTTTAATATACCATAGACAATTAATGGAGAGAATTCGGCATAAAAAATGTCAAACCCTGACACTTTAACTATAAAATATACAATCTCCAAGTCAGGAACCGTTACATTAATGCATTTCACAATTATTTTATGTTTTTTAGCAAAAAAAAAGTTCAAAAATCTTTATTCTAGGCCCCCTCTTCCAAATATCATGGAAACTGCCCTGGCGGGGCCCACAGAGATGGCTCCCATCTCAATGATATCTAGTTGCGTCTGTCTTTTTTATGATCTCACTACCTCTTGTTACATAATCAGTATGCTAGAGGGTGACCAAAAACCCTCCTATTATACTACTTATACATCACTATATAACTTTGTCCTTCCATCTATACATATCAACCATTTTTGTGAACTCATAAACTGTCAACTTATAAAACATGTAAAATTTTGCCTTTATATTATTCATTCGACTCCGATCTTAATTGATTAGGATTGCAAGTATTCCTGTGAAGGTTGGCAGTTGTCTATGGATACTCCGTCTTCCTCCTCTTATCAGAAACTTAATGATTTATATACATGTATCCAAGATGTAAGCATAGTATAATATGCTATTCCAATAGATGTAGGCATAGTATAATATGCTATTCCAATTGATTTCAATGTTAGAAACTACCAGTTGGTCTCCATTTTCAAAATGGCCACCAAAATACATAAAAAAAACTTTTGACACATGTTTGAAGTGCTGGGATATCACAGTAATTTGACTGCTACATACATGTACATGTACGTGGCAAAGGTGATGTGAAAAAATATATGTATAATCGTTTGTTACTGACAAATAACTGTTTCATCTACACGTGCATGATGTACTCCAGGGAAGTACAAAGCCATTAGGATTGTAACAAGGCTTTTGCCCGCACGGTGCTTCTCTAATTTTTATGATTATCTTCTCTTTTTCAGAAACACATGAGAACACATACTTGGTAGAAGCTGTTTAAATGGGATGAATGTGGAAAAGAATTTTTACAAAAATGTGACATACAAAAACACACGAGAACACATACTGGAGATAAATGTGATGTTTGTGGTTAAAGGTTTAGTATGAGTAATCACTTACACATGTTACAGGGACACATGATGATACATACTGGTGATAAACCCCATGAGTGTACAGTATGTGGAAAAGGATTTAGTACGAAGCAGAACTTACATACACATTGGACAATACACACGGGATATAAACCTTATAAATGTGGAAAATGTGGTAAAGAGTTTAGTAGGGAACAACAGTTAAAAAGACACATTTATACACATACTGGTGAAAAACCTTTCAAATGTAGTGTATGTGGAAGAGGATTTGCTGATAGTCGGAATGTACAGAGACACATAAGAACACACACTGGTGATAAACCTTATACATGTGAGAAATGTGATAAAGAATTCATTCAAAGTAATGACTTACAGAAACACATGAGAACACATACGGGTGATAAACCTTTTACATGTGATGTGTGTGGAAAAGAGTTTAGTATGGAACATTCCTTAAAAAGACACATTAATACACATACTGGTGAAAAACCTTTCAAATGTAGTGTATGTGGAAGAGGGTTTGCTGATAATGGGAACTTACAGAGACACATAAGAACACATACTGGATATAAACCTTATAAATGTGATGTGTGTGGAAAAGAATTTAGTCAGAGTACTAGCAGAAATAAGCACACAAGAACACACACTGGTGAACAACCTTGTTAATTTAATGTATGTCATGTATGTATATTTTGTGTATTGAAGTCTAAGAACAACTAAAGAACACACTGGTAATCTACCTTATAAATGAGATACATGTATATATATATGTTCTGGACCATATGAGTATTTGAACCATACGCGTATGGTCATGACAATATGGGTATATACTCATATGGTCCAGGTAATTAACATGATGGACATTGAAAAGGTGTTATAAATAAAGTGTTTCTAAAAATGAATTTTTCACTTATACAATCATACATGTATGGTAACCATTGTTAATGACATACCGTTGTACAGTGAATTCATTCACAAGTTAGAAATTTTATAGTATAATCTTTTTTGCATGATCATTATCGATTTGTTCTTACAAAACAGAAATGTCGACTTTGGAAAATAACTTCTGGAAATATGACTAAATGACGTGTTAACCAAGAAGTCAATTGTTTTGCTCGCAAGCACTTATTACATTGAATCATCTATTTTTAAAATTCATTATTTTGGAATCTAAATTGGTTTTAGCAAATGTTTAGTAAATTAGAATTTCTTAAATATTTCAAATTGATATAAACATGATAAATAAAGGCAACAGTAGTATACCGCTGTTCGAAATTCATAAATTGATTGAGAAAAAACAAATCTGGGTTACAAACTAAAACTGAGGAAAACACATCAAATATAAGAGGAGAACAAAGACACAACAGAAACACTAAAATGTAACACACACAGAAACAAACTATAAGATAACTATAGCCATTTTCCTGACTTGGTAAAGGACATTTTAAGAAAAAAATGGTGGGTTGAACCTGGTTTTGTGGCTAGCCAAACCTCCCGCTTTAATGGCAATGTTAAATATAACACTAAAATGACAACATTACATGACAAGACTACAAGTTATGATTTCTAATTCCTATTGATACGATCTTAGTTAACAAATTAAACAATAACAGTACATTGCAGTAACAGGTATGAATAGGAGCGAAAACACACAAGTTGAATGAAAAATAAGTAGAAATAAGAAGAATTTTGCTTAAAAACAAAATCATTAAGTACTCAAGTAAAAAAGGTCAACAAGGCCTGTGGTTTCACTTACAGACGAAACAGTTGACAGGGTAAAGGGCTTTTAATTGAATTGACTCTTGCGAAGGCAAGATAACAAAATTCAGACAATATGTCAAAGGTGAAGGAAATCATTTAGCAACTGTTTAGCTGTTTTGGGTTTGGAGATTGAGCTTTGTGAAGTTTTTATTTGTTTTAAAAAATACCTATATGATCTAAATACCCATATGGTCCGGCCCGTTAATGACCAAACGTTACGAGTATTATACTCGTATGGTCCAAATACTCATATGTCCGGAACATATATATATGTCATCATGGTCATGTCTGTACATTTTGTGTAGTAAACCTTAAGAACAACAAAAGAACCCACTGGTGATCAACCTCTAATGTGATGAATTTCATGTACATAAACTTTCATTTTGTGTAATAAAGGATTCAGTAAGACAGTCAAAGATACTATACTTGTACAAGTTATTTTTATTCACTTGAAGAAGTAAATAATAATATTTATATAAGTAAATTTGTGTATTTATATTTTCTTATAAGGTTTGAATAATCTCACCTTAATTAGTCCACTACCGACGAAGTCGAAGGGCACTTTAGGTTTGCACTCCGTTCGTCTGTCCGTCTGTCCATCCGTCAGTCCGGCAAATCAGCTTTCCACACTTTTTTTCTTTGTTCTTGAAGATATTGGTTTGATATTTGGTATATAGTTTTATCATGACAAGTTATAGATCAAGTTCGAATTTTGTTCCGGTCTGATGATTTAGTCCAGAGTTATGGACCAAAACTCTGGACCATATCTAATGTTAGAGTACTATGTTAAACCATATTTTTGTACAAAGGGAGATAACTTATTTTTTAAAAGACATTCTTGTTAAATTATTTGAAGAATTTTTTGGCAGGTTTGATTGTTATTTAGTATAAACTAATTATCTGAATGCTATAGATATAAAAAAAATTATGAAGAGAAATCCTTTAATTAGATAATAATCTATTTTTATTAATGTATATATTTCAATACATTACACTGTGTAGATAAAAGTTGTTGACATTTTATAGATAAGTTACAAATCTATATTAGTTTGTGACAAATGAAAGAAAAAATATTTGGAACTATTAATTACATTTGATTATAATTTGAAAATTGATATACACTGTATTACATCATACAATGTATCTAATTTTAGAGAACTATATATCATATCTAATGTTTTTTTCACTAATATAATCAGTTTTCCACACTGTTTTTAGTCATGCTTGAAGATATTGACATGATATTTACTTTTTGTTTACACCATGACAAGTTATAGAACAAGTTAACATTTTGTTCCAGAAAAAATGAATTTTTACCCAGTAGGGGACTATGTATTGCCATGCAATACTCTCAGAATGCTTGTTTTCTCAAAAAATTTACTTGTACAAATTGTCCATGAAATAACACTTAAATGATAAGTAAAGACATCTGCAAAGGACAGACAATTAAAATTCCATTAGAGCAAACAAGTCCTGAGAAATTCAAGAAAAGAAAAATAGTATGACTTTTTTATGTGTATAAGTAAAAAAATCTGAATGTCTAAAGGACATAACGTTAACTAAGCCATTAAAATAATTTACCTATACAAGTAAATAAAATACATTTGTATAAGTATCTTACAAATTTACTTATATAAGTATATTAATATTTACTTCTTCAAGTAAATAAAAATAAATTGTATAAGTAGTACCCCTGACTGTAAGAATTATGAGGTGTAGGGTATTGTTAGTTTTAACATACAGCCACATGAGAACGCATACTGTTGTTAAACATCATAGAATGTGATGAATGTAATAGAGACATGATTTCAGACATACATGAGAATTCACACTGGTGTTTAACTTTATACATGTTATGTGTCATAAATTGTGGGTATGTGATTGAGCTGTGGGTCTGTCATTATACTGAGGGTCTATCATTAAACTGAATGTGTGATTTCAAACTGTGGGTGTGATGAATCATTTGGTTGTCATTGGACTGTGTGATTAAACAGTGTATGTGATTAAACTGTACTTATACTCTAGCTTAAGGGGATGTAGAGCGTAAATGTATGGCTTTTTTAACAGTTTACTACATGAAAGTTTTGAGATTGAATCTTTGTGATATAAGATGTCTGCTTTTTAAATACTTTGTTGTTCCCTTGGGTAGCTGTTAAGGTTATGTAGAAATATTGCTCTTTATATTGTTATATTGACTTTGATGGTCGACTTAAAATGATAATGGAATTTATAACCAGCAATTTTTATACAATTTAAAAAAAAAAATCTGTAATTTTTTTATCATGTGTTTTTTTTAATGTTTTTGTACATGATGTATAGAAAGTCTACAATCTTGTATATGATAAAAAATAAACTATATACAAATTTATTGATTATTCCAATCAAAACAATTCATTTTTATTACCCATTAGTTCACCTATTGTTTGTCATTAAATTTGAAGTAGTGATTAACACCTGTAAAAACACATATAAGTGTCAATTATGTCCCCACAGACAAAAGGCTACTAGATCATTTAATAGTCACTATTTGTTCATTTCTTTTATTTTTAATTGAAGATATGTTTTGGGCAAAAAGTATAAAAAAAAAACAATGTGATTTCTTTAACACAGTTCAAGTAAATCTGTCAAATAAAGTTATGTCATCAAAACAATACAAATATTATACTGCGCCTGTTCAAAGTTTTATATAAATAGAATGCTTATATTAAAAACTCAATTCTTCACTTAGATTACGTTTTTTATGTGAGAGGGTCTGGATGGGGTTCTTCATTTCTGTATTCTTTAATTTTTGGGGTAATTTTTCTTTTATCTTTAAAAATAACCCTTATTCTGTAAAATTCCAGTGAAACCCATTTTACTATTAAATTCATTTGTTATTACATGATTTCATTATTCTGTACATGATTCATTTCTGTATTCAGTTTTTCTGTTAAGTGTCCTTTAACCTGGATGTGTGATTAAACTGTGGGTGTGTTATTAATCAGTGGGTGCGTTTGAACTGTGGGTGCGTTTGAACTGTGGATGTGTGATTAAACTGTGTGACTGATAAAACTGTGGGTGTGTGATAATTAATCAGTGGGTGAGATTAAAATGTTGATGTGTGATTAAACTGGTGGTGAGATTAAACAGAAGCTGTGTGATTAATCAGTGGGTGTGTGATGAGACAGTGGGTGTGATTAAACCATGGATGTGTGATTGAACTGTGGGTGTGATTTAACTGTGGATGTGTGGTTAAACTGTGGGCGTGGTATACTGTGTGTGTATGATTAAACTGAATGTGTAATTAACTTTGGGCGTGTGATTAAACTGTGGATGCAGGGGCGGAACCATCTTGGAGGGAAGTGGATCGTAACCCTTGGCTAGCGAAGATGGACCAGGAGGGAAGTGGATCGTAACCCTTGGCTAGCGAAGATGGGCCAGGAGGGAAGTGGATCGTAACCCTTGGCTAGCAAAGATGGGGCTGAACCAGCCATTTTTAAAAGGGGGTTCCCAACCCAGGATAAAAGGGGGGGGGTTCCAACTATATGTCCCCATTCAAATGCATTGATCGTCAAAAAAGGGGGGTTCCAATCCCCGGAAACCCCCCTGGATCCGCCACTGGGATGTGTGATTAAACTGTGGGTACAGGATTTAAATGTGGGTGTGTTCTTAAACAGTGGGTATGATTAAACTTTGGGTGGATGATTATACTGTTAGTGTGATTTAACTGTGGGCGTGTGATTAAGAATTAAGTAATTCAGGAAACTGACAGAGGAACATGAGAACAAACTTGTCATCCTTGTGGTATATATACCATACAAATTCTTGTATATTTATAATTTGAATGGTTCATTTTTAATCAATGGCAGTCAAACAGAGGCACCTGAGAGCACTTTCTGATGTGATGTGATATGTAACGTAACGTGTGGTTCTGTTGAAATGATGAATTAAATACTTTATACAGAAAAGGTGAATTACATACATTACAATTTGGTTAACAGTTTTATTATTTACTTGTGGGCCTTGGTGGCCGAGTTGTCTTCTGTATCACTAGCCTGTCAACACTGAGGTTATGAGTTCGAATCCCGCACGAGATGTACATATATCATGTATATAAAAATAAAGAGATATGGTATGATTGCCAATGAAACAACTGTCCACCAAAGTACAAATGAAGTTGATGTATAAAAAAGAAGATGTAAGCAACTATAGGCAACCGTACGGCCTTCAACAATGAGAAAAACCCATACCGTATAGTCGGCTAAAAAAGGCCCCGTCCTGAAAAATATGAAACAATTCAATTGAGAAAACTAACGGCCTAATCTATATATCAAAACAATTTACGAAAACAAATATGACAGATATGAACCAACGACAACCACTTAACGACTGTTTATTAAACATATCATGTACTTTGGGGCATCTTTAATTAACAAAAACATTGTAAATACATTTTTATTGGGCTCAGTCACTAATCATATTGTTGCTTGTGATAAAAAAAAGAAGGGGGTCCTAGGTTTAATCCCTAGTTGAATTAAACCAAAAATGTAAACATTATACAATTATTGACTTTTGATGAGGTTGATTTTAAAAATGGATGGATCCACCCCTGTATACTGAAATGTCATTAAAGTATTTACATGTATTGAAATTTAATTAAAAGTATGTATCATTCCAGTGGTAAATTAATTAAAGTTAACAGTGATAAATATGTGTACATCATGTGCATTATAAATGATGTATATGCACAAAAATAAGGAGATGTTGTGATATGATTGCAGCTATCTTTCAGAGTCCAAAGGAATGGGATGTAAGCAACTATGTGCCACTGTGCAGCTTTAACAATGACCAAAACCCATACCCTATAATCAGCTATAAAAGAGGGTATGGATAGGGTCCTTCATTTCTGTATTCCTTAATTTTTAGTCCATTTTTCTCTATTCTTTATAATTTTTAATCCATTGTTCTCTTATCTTTATATTTTAACACCCCATTATTATCTTTACTTTATGTTTTAGGCTATCATTCTCTTCTCTGTAAACCCCCATCGAGACCCCCATAAAAGGCCTCCAATGGCATGTGAACAAAACACGAAAACAAATAGCATGTTGTATGCTAAAACAATAAATAAAAAACAAATAGTGCAGACAACAATCAACTACAACCACTGGTTTACTGGCTCCCAATTATGGACAGGTACGTGAAGAATGATGATGTGGGGTTACACATGTTTTAAGTGATAAACCCTCCCCTAAGCCGAGACAGTTGTGGCGCGGAATCAAGGTAATAAATATTGATTTTAGCATATTCTAAATTGATTGTAGTTTATGCAAAATTGATTTTATAAAATTGAGAACGGAAACGGGGAATTTATCAGCGAGACAACAACCCGACCAAATAGCAGAAAACAGCACAAGACCACCAATGGGTCTTCAACACAGCGAGAAAATCAGGTACCCGAAGGCGGGATTTAGCTGGCTCCTAAACAATAATGAATACTAGTTCAATAAAAATGGACATCACACTTAACTCCGAAACATATAAATGAACCAAAATAAAAAAAAAAAAACATACAAGACTTAACAAAGGCCAGAGGAAGCTGACTTTGGGACAGGCACAAAAATGCGGCGGGTTAAACAAGTTTTGTGAGATTTCAACCCTCTCCCTATACCTCCAGCCAATTTGGAATAAACATACACACAGCAATACGCACAGTAAAACTCAGACATGCCAGTTCCAGACATCAAATTGAATGATTGAAAGAGTATGTCTTCATCATATGAAAATCGAGCACAATCCCTCCTTTTAGGGGTTTAGATCACACAATATACGAGAAGAACATAACCCGTATCCTGCCAACAACAGGTTTTATTTCCGATGCAAAGACCCTACGAGTGAATCAATATTAATTCCAAAAAATGACCCGACAACAGTATCGCAACTATATCCCTTCTAATTTCTGGCCAACAGTAAAGCCATTTTTAACAAACAAAGGATGCACCAGCCAAAAAGAAACCATACTACAGGAAGACAACAAAATCATCACAAACCAACAAGAAATATCTGAAATTTTTAAAAAACTTTTTTGTAAATGTTGCAAAAAACATAGGTGACAACAACATACAGGTTAATGACAAACACCCAAGTATAGAAGCTATTTCTAATAAATACGCAAATGGGTCAACATCAAAAATAAACTTATTTTTCAGCCTATAAATGAAGCATTTATTTCTAAAAGAATTGGTAAAATTAATGTTACAAAGGCAACTGGTGTAGATGGTATATCACCAAAAATTTTACACGCTGCTAAACCTGTAGTGATTAAACCTATCACACAGCTTGTAAATTTATCATTATCCACTTCCATTTTTCCAGACTCGTTAAAAATTGCCCACGTGGCACACATTCATAAAGAAAGTGTTCTTGAAAGGGTAATTATAGACCCGTTAGTGTTTTACCTGCTATATCTAAAATTTTTGAAACAGCCATAGAAAATCAACTTATTGAATACTTTGATGATTTTTTTTACCATTTCCTTGCGGCTTTTCGACCAGGCTATGGCTGTCAGTCAACATTACTTAAAATTTTTGGAGATTGGAAAAAGGCACTGGATAATCATAAATACTTATCAGCAATATTGATGGCCGATATCAGTAAAGCTTTTGACTGTCTTCCACATGATCTACTTCTTTGTAAATTGGAAAAATATGGCCTTAGTCCATCTGCTCTTGAATTGCTAAAAAGTTATCTTACAACAAGAAAACAGTGTGTAAAAATAGGTCAAGAGTATCAGTCAAATGCAAGATATCTATAAAGGTGTTCCTCAGGGATCTATACTTAGCCCTTTATTATTTAATGTATTTATAAATGACATCTTTCTTTTTATCAAACACTGTGAATTATATAACTATGCTGATGATAACACTCTGTCTAAATCAAGTACTACTTTGATTCAGTAATTAAATCATTAGAGGAAGATAGTAACTCTCTAATACCATGGTTCTCCTTCAACAAAATGCAGGCAAACCCAGAAAAATTCCAGGCAATTGCCATAGGTAAAAAAACACACACTCAAAAATATGGTCTTCAACCTAAATGGATTCAACAGAAAATGTGACGACGAGGTGAAACTTCTTGGTATAACAATAGACTTTAAACTGGATTTCAACACTCACATCTCAAACATCTGTAAAAAAGCTGCACGACAACTAAACGTACTAAAAAGAATCGGCACTCATCTCACCAGACTTTCTAAACTTACAGTATACCACTCATTTATCTTGTCAAACCTCAGCTATTGTCCTCTTACATGGCACTTCTGCAGTGAACAAAACATAAAGAAAATAGAAAAAATAGAAGAAAGAGCACTCAGATTTGTTTATGACGACTACAAAAATTTTTACGATACACTCCTTGAATAGTCTAAGCTACCAACACTAAAAATCAGAAGAATGAGAACCATGGCATTAGAGACTTACAAAATAATTAATAAATCAAGTCCGGAATTCCTACATAATTTAATAAACATTAAAGAAAATTCATATAATTTTAGGTACAAAGGCATAGCGGATATACCACGGCCAAAAACACTAAGAAAAAGCTTTAGTTATGAGGCAGCAAGACTCTGGAACTCCATGCCAAATGAGGCAAGGAGCTTATCAACTTTTGGCCAGTTCAAAAATTTTATCTCTACCTGGTGTTTTTTCAGAAAATTGTACCTGCAGTTCTTGTAAATAATTCAACTCCTTGTTACACACAGGAGCAAATTGAACAAGTAGAGATATATAAACACCATAAGATGGTGCCTAGGGAACGTCACCATCTCAAATTAATGGATAGTTAACAATAGGAAATAAAAAATCATCTCTTTTATTGTAAATTTTAGTATTAAGCTTCCCGTTGAAGATATAGTTATCAAGATCCAGGAAAGGGCAGTGTTCATTGTTAGTATTAGCTTGATTTAAAGTAAGTTCAACAGAATGAATCTAATGTTCATACTGAAGACGTCAATATTGAGAGCCAATATATCATCCAAATTTCTAAAAGTGTTATTAAATTTTTGAAATGTTGTTTCGATGGGTCTTTGCTGATTTTAGTCATAAATTGTAACTCGTAACAATACAGAAACAGGTCCGCAATAAATAGTGCAATGTTAGTCCCCATTGATATTCCAATAACTTGACGATATACAGAATCTATAGCGAACACAAATGTCTAGTATAAATTTCAAGGGCAGTTATCGTATCAGAGCAGGTCCAATTAACATAGTTCTTTTGTTTGTTTCATACTAAAGATGACCTAAAAGAGTTTGAATATATATATTCGCATTCTGACTTTTTAAATGCCCATTTTATTAGGTATGTGAATTTTTTTTCTATAAAACATCATTACAAATAAAAACAGTGTCAACAATATATAATTTATGATTATTTCAAGAAAATTATCAATGCATATGAGCATATAAGTATGGAAAGCAAAACAAATACTTTTAAAATTACCAGTGCATATGAGCATATAAATATCGAAAATAGATCAATCCTTTCTGCTTGGGTGGGTTTGAATGACTTTTAAATAAAAGAAGAAAAAAAAAACAGAAGCAATTAATAGACTCGCATATTTAATGTAGTAAAGTGTCTTGTTTATAGTATAAAACTATAACCTTTCTAAATAAGCCATGATAAGATATTTAAAGGACAACTTCTCAACGTGTCTGCTAAATGAATACTACTGGTCTCCGCTAGTACTGAACTATTTTTGTGAACCTCTCAGCCTAGGAAAAAATGTCTTTCAACTGCTTATATCGTCACATAGAATAGGAGCGGAACGAGATCGTTATTGGAATATTTCCTGACAACCCAACTGATCTGCGGTACACTACCATTAGAGCTTTTGACACAGAGCTTTTAGTTCAAGTCCTGTTTATGTATCATAAGATGCGAGATACTCTATGTACTTAGGTTTACCTTTAAGCACCAACAGTTTTCATGAATGGTAGAATTACAATTAATCTGCCTGTCTATACATGTTGGTGTTGTTGTTATCAGTGGTTTTGGTAGACGGTTAACTTAGGGAACGACCATTAAACTTCAAAGGGAGGGGGCGGAGTTATGTTTTTTTTTCTAAAAAATATTTCGAATCATAATTTGATGAAAAAATGTTCTGACTGCAGAAAAAAATAATTTTATTGAAAGCATCGAAAAATTAAATAAATTTGTTCGCGCTTGGCGAAAAAAAGATAAAAAATTCAAACTAAAAAACTATACCCCCCACCCCTTTTTTTTGGTGTTGGTTTTTCTTAATCTTTAACAGTTTAAAAATGATAATATGATATTTTTTTCTTTCTTTTTTTACATACACAGTTAAACTATTAACATGATTAAGTTTTGGGGTTTACTACTAACTAATTTTCATAGACCAGAGTGTTTTACTTGTATTTTTTGAAACTTTTAAAACTCATCTGCCTATGTTGCATGGTCGGATACGTATAGGTGATTGCTTCACTGATGCACAACACATTTTAATCTATTTGATTAAGCAGCTCAATGGGCCGACCCAAAGGTGAAGTGTGGAATGCAATTGTGCTGTGCGGAAAAAAGCTTTCAGATTCGGATACGATCAATGCATTTGAATGGGGACATATATTTGAAACCCCTTTTTTTTCTCCTGACAGCAATTCGGACTGGTGTGTAGTTTAAACCAATATCTTCGGTTATCTTGCTTACTAACCGAACCATGAAATCATTACTAGTCTTGTCCGACATATAGACAATCTGTCGATATCTTCATCATGTCATTAAGCTTATAATTATTCTATGGTTCAGCAAGCAAGGGAGGCAACCAACGATTTTAGTTTAACCTGCACACTCTGTTCGATCTGTTTTATCTAAATTCTTGGCGATGATTTTGAATAAAAGTGGACACCCTGAAATGTGTAGCCGGTTTTTAGTGTTCATAATTGAATTTATGTGAAAAGTCAAAATAAAAGTGTATATATATACTAGAACATGACGTGAAGGTGGGATAAATCTTTCAGACAGACATGGGAGCTGTATGAAATCATTCCTCTCCGACTGACATATAGTAAACCATGTAAACCAATTGCTTGAAGTATCTCAGAAACAAACTACATGACGAAAATTGAATTTTGACAAATGAACCATGAAAATAAGGTCAAGGTCAGAGGACATCTTCCAAACATTGGACTAAAAATATATTATTTCGTTCTATTTCGTGTCCTCATTCTCCATTCCGTTTCGTTTTGTTATATTTCGTTTCGTTTCCATTCTGTTTCTCACTTATATACCTATACCTATGAATACCTATGGATCTTCAGAACGCTGGCACTGTTGTACCATTTATATATTCTGCTCATCGTTGTAATTAATTGTACGTTTTTCACTTATATCAGAGACATATAATACAATTGTATTATATGTCTCTGCTTATATGTACCCTTCAGATTCCGTGAGTATTTTTTTCTTTTATTGTGTCAGTCTGATTAAAACCAGCCCCCACGGTTTTAATCAGACTGTTATTGTGCTAACTGTTTTGTATTATTGCATAATCCAGGGACTTTCTATACTAACAGTTCTGTATGCAAATTTGTATAGACAGTGTAACAGAGACGAGTCCCGTTAGTATAGAAAGTCCGGTATCGGGTCCGTTCGCGCCCAATACACGTTCGCACCCTACACGTTCGCACCCCACACGTTCGCCCCCTAGGTCCGTTCGCACCCTACACGTTCGCACCCTTTTTTTATTCAAAAACCTGATAAATTTTTAGATGTTTTGTAAAATATTTTTATTTTCATAAATAAATATTCGGGAATTTTTAAATGAAATATTGTTTTAAATTGATTTGATGATTAATTATTAAATGTTAATTATGTATGATTACTGCTAATTGGTATTTATACACAGCCTAATATGATGTTATTGTTGAGTGTTTAAAAATCATGATTGTTGTCATGGTTGTTTTAACTTGCTTTAAATGTAAATACTGCATGTATTTAGCTTGGTATGAGTAAAACTTTGAAGATTTTAAATAAAAAACATGAAAGATAATTGTTTTTAACAGCTTGGCTCCTTTGAGCTCAATTCAATTCAATTCTTTATTACTTTAAGCACATTATGCTTATCAGTTCAATAAATACAAATACATTTCTATAACACAACATGACATAATACATCAGAGAAGCAAATAAATATCAAGTATTGACCAATAACAGTTTGGTCCTATGATTAAATGCATTAAACAAGAATTTACACAAATTACGCAAATCTTTTACATTTTCAGTGCTGAGAAGTTGCACTAATTTGAACGACGATGGACGTCTATAATAATAAGTTTAATAAACTGTCTCCTTAAGTCTCTATAGCATTCACATTGTAAAACAAAATGGAATTCATCTTCAGTGATATTCAAAGTACAAAGAGTACACTTTCTATCTAACCTATTTACTCCACGATAACGGCCTATTTCAACAAACAAATTATGAGATGACAATCTAAGGCGAGTTAAATACACTCTAAAATTCATATGTTTGGTTAGATAATTCTGTAAACATACATTATTGACAATATATTTATATAAATAACACTTAGATGAAACGTTCAGTTGATCATTCAAAGTCTGTTTTGCTTGATCATATATCCTTGTTTTTACAAATAACTCATGTGTGTCAGAATCTCACTTTATTCATAAACAATGAAAAAAAATATTTATAGCAATACACTATCCAAAACATGATTACGAATTATTCAACACATAAAAAAAAAACGTTGTCAGAATCCCATTTCCTTTTGAAACAATAAAAAAAAAATTTATAGCAATACACGAACCAAAACATGATTAAGATTTTATCAACACCTAAAAAAACGTTGTCAGAATCTCACTTTATTTAGAAACAATGAAAAAAAATAATTTATATATATATATATAAATATATAGAGAGCAATACACTTACCTAAACATGATTAAAAATTATTCAACACAAAAATAAAATACTGGTCGTCAGAATCTCACTTAATGCCTCGTTCACACGTACATTTAATTCGAATTGAATTCGAATCGAATGCGAATCGAATTCGCTAATCGCGTTCACACACTCTTCTTTTTTAATTCGAATTGATTCGAATTGGCTAAATCGCATTATCCAATTCGCATTAGAAATGCGTTTTTGTTAATACGAATTAAAAGTTAACGTCGTTAGGACAGTAAAGCGAATTTGACGCGAATTGCAATTCGAATTAGAATTTACGTTTGGACGTTAAACGTTTCGAATGCGAATTAAACTAATTCGAATTAGTTAATGCGAATCGAATTCGAATTACGTGTGAACGCAGCATTATTTAAAAACAATGAAAAAAAAATGTTTATAGCAATTAACATTTACCATGACACAAAAAAAACCTTGTCAGAATCTCACTTTATTTAGAAACAATGAAAAAATATATATTTATAGCAATACACTTACCAAAACTCGTTAACAAATTATTAAACACAAAACCAATAAAAATTGGGCGCGAACGTGTAGGGTGCGAACGGACTTTGGGTGCGAACGTGTAGGGTGCGAAAGTGAAAGGGGGCGAACGTGCATGGGGGCGAACGTGATTGGGCGCGAACGGACCCGGATTCAGAAAGTCCCTGCATAATCATATATTGAATATCGATTTTTATGAGAATCGCAAACTACAACTTAATTGTGATTTATTTCATTCCGTGCAGGTGTGTTTTCATAAGCGAGGCTAGTTGCAGATCTTTATCATATATATATCGTGATTTTACCATTTTTCAAAAGTGGTTTGAGATGGCAGTAGTGAATTTAAAAGGATTTAACCCTTTTTCATAAGTGGGGCGAGTTAGTTGCCAAGAGTGGCGAGTTGGTGAAAAAGTGGGTCGACTTGTCTTGCTTCCGGAAACTGAAACATTCTAGATATTGACATCAACGGGAAACGGTGTTTTTGTGAATGAAGATAAGGTTACTTGAATACAGTGATTATAATGTATTGAAGCTTATTTATATGGTGAGAATAAACTCTTGTGTAATGAACTAAGGTGTTGTCATAAAAATCATATGATTTATTTATGAAATACACGACGTGTTGAATAACTTGAAAAAAATTATAAAAAAAGGCAAACCTCAAACATCAAATGACAAATGAATGAGGACAATATTTCACCTATTATTATAGTTTGAAAATTCAAGTTTTAACCCATTGTTTAATTGCCAACTAACTTTTACAAACTTTAAAATAGAAAACCATTTTAGGGATGCCACGCTGTCAATTTAGCTCTTGAAAACTAATAAATTTATCCCAGGGGGGTTACTGACTACCCTTTCGGGTATACATGTAACTGTGCCGACAGCACTTGCCAAATCATACCCTGTTCTAACCAGAAAACATTGAAAAACATACCCTGTCCTAACAGAAATATTGAAAAACATACCCTGTTCTAGACACGCTCAGAAAATGCATACCTTGTTCATGTGTTGTTCTAGACCGTATAAAATAGATGCTGTTCTAGACACGGGTTCTAGACTGTATCTTAAGCAGTTGAATAAGCGATCCTGTTCTAGACAAATACTTTGTTTAAAAAAAGACCCTGTTCTCACCAGCAGGGCATGAAAAAGCAACCCTGTTCTAACCAGCAGGACATGAAAAAGGGACCTTGTTCTAACCAGCAGGGCATGAAAAGCGACCCTGTTTTGCGGCACACTCGTACCACTAAAAATATAGAAAGTAACCCCTCCCGGGAAATTTATCCACATAGCAATTTCCAATCCTTATACTATTATATGCCAGTTGTTTAGAAAAAACCACAACTGTATCTTCTAGCCATTGAGCATTAGTAAATGTACTTTTCTGCATTTAGGGAGCTACCATTTGATTTTTATGGGGCTAGGATGAAATTTGAAAAAAAAGGCAGGACAGAAGTTTTGAGTAAAAAAAAAGGCAGGATGAGCAACTTGGCAAAAGAAAAGGCAGGATGACAAATTATGTATAAAAAGTCAGGATAAACTAATTAAAAAAAAGGCAGGACTGAATAAAGTGAAAAATAAAAAGGCAGGACCGAGATTACAACTAAAAAAAATGCAGGACACAATTTTTCATTCTAGCCCCCCAATAAAAATCAAATGGTAGTTCCCTTAGTCAACTTAAAACTATTGTCTGATCGGTTTTCAGGGTGAATTTTCAAAAGTTTAAAAAACAATTAAAAAAATTAATTTATTAAAATTATTTCGTAAAAAGGCAGACTTAATCTTTTCAGAGGTTGAATCTAATAACCCTAGATTACACTCACAAAAACATAATATAATTTCAGAGGATAGGACTTTTGAAAAAGTTTAAAGACAATGGTGGACGCCAAATGATGAGAAAAGTTCACTTGGCCCAGGGTCAGGTAGCTAAAATATAGGATAATAATCATTTGATTCTTGACAAAAAGGTGTTTCTGATACATGACGTGCATGATGTTTATTGAATTGACAAAAGTTTTACAGATTGCAAATATGCTTTTGCCCACATGGCGCTTATCACAATTTTATGATTATCTTTTCTTATTTCAGACTGCAGGCCATTTTGATGAAACAAAAGACATCAATTCATAAAGAAAACAAAGAAAATAAATGTCTGATACATTTAGTGATAAACCCCATCAATGTACAGTATGCGGTAAAAGGTTTAGTTTGAGTAATATTCTGAAGGAGCACATGAAAATACATACTGGTGAAAATCCCTATGAATGTACTGTATGCCGTAAAGGGTTCAGTAGGAGTCATCACTTGAAGGATCACATGAGAATACATACTGGCGAAAAACCCCATGAATGTACAGTATGCGGTAAAAGGTTTAGTTTGAGAAGTAACTTGAAGACGCACATCAGAATACATACTGGTGATAAACCCTATGAATGTACAGTATGCGGTAAAAGGTTCAGTATGAGTATATACTTAAAGAGTCACATGAGAATACATACAGGTGACATTCCTAATGAATGTAAAGTATGCGGTAAGGGATTTAGTACGAGTCAGAACTTACGTAGACACGAGCATATACACACTGGAGATAAACCTTATCAATGTGGAGAATGTGATAAAGAATTCATTCAAAGGATTGACTTACAGAGACACATGAGAACACATACTGGAGATAAACCTCATACATGTGATGTGTGTGGAAAAGGATTTAGTGAGAGAAATGGCAGAGATAAACATTTAAGAACACACACAGGTGATAAACCTTATAAATGTGATGTGTGTGGAAAAGGATTTAGTCAGAGTAATAACAGAGATACACATCTAAGAACACATTTAGGAGATTAACCTTTGCATCCTTATTTATGTTATGTATGTTATGTGTGTATATTTTGTGTAGCAAAGGTGTCAGTCAGAGTCATAGCAGAGATAAACACGTGCGAACACACACTGTTGATTAACCTTAACCAGTCAGGGGACTTACTTAAATGAGTGATTTTCTAAATCACTGATTCAAGTAACATTATGTCCACAAAGGTTGGAAGTAAGAGTTGTCTTTCTTTAATAAATACTTTTTTAAGTAGTACAAATAAATCACTAGACTAAGTGATTTAATTTTATTGTAGCTTTAAATATACAATACTAATGATCCAGGGACTAATTATGTAGCTAAAATTATCAGAACCATCATCTGTGTCGATAGGATGACCAGTCATGTCAGGTGATGACCTTGTACTGAATCTGGGATAATGACATGAAAAATCACTTGTTTAACAATGTTTAAGTATCATACCTCTATTTTCTTCAAAAAAATCACTTCTTTAAGTATTATTATTTTAATAACCCCCACTAATTTCAACACCCCCGAACAGTGAAATTTTGATCGCGAACAGTAAAATTTTATTACATAATCTGTAAGATGAAGCCTTGAATTTTACAGGAAAATTACTCCCACTGCTGGAAAAAATCTGTTAAGAAAGTATCAGTTCTTTATGTGAAGCCTTAATTACAAATGTATAGCATTTTTTCAACAAAAATGGAATTTACAGCTAAATAATTGCATCAAAGGCATAAATCATGCTACTTAAATGAAGCAAAAAGTTCATTTTTTTCAATTTTACTAATTAATGATAAGATATTATCTAAACCTATGTGTTTAAATTTTTGGTAAAACTATAAAATCACAATTTGTGACAAAATGTTGAATTTGCTACTTAAATAAGTGATTTAAAACTCTCTTATTTCAGTAATTCCCCCGACTGTTAACCCTGGTGATGTTATGTACATGTATGTTATGTTTGTACATTTTGTGAAGTAAAGGATTCAGTCAGGGTCATAGCAGGGAGACACACACTAGTTATAAATTTCTTAAATATGATGCAAGAGGTATAGGGTGTTGTTAGTTTTAACATGCAGTCACACACAAGAACAGTCATACTGTTGTTAGTTTTTTAAAGTTCAGTTTGGTCTTGAAAATTATTTACTATGTCTTTCAGAGGATAAAAGAATCTGGATTTCGAAACTGAGAACATGCAATTTTAAAATTCCTTTTGAAACTGGCAGTAGTGCAACGTCGCTAGAACCAATTGTCTATCATGTCTATGTACCTTATGTAATGAATGTGTTGGTGATGAATATCATTATTTATATGTATGTAATATTACTTATATCACCATGATCACTGAACTTTGGTAGAAATGTAAACGTACATATTATTATAAAACACACCCATCTGTACTGAAAATGCATAAGCTGCTGTCATTTAATATGTCACTGTCAGTTATTGCGTAATTTATCTATATTTATCAAGAAAATATCTAATCTCGTTTAATAAGATGCATGTATCTTATAAGTTTTATTAGCTTTGGATAGTATACTTTTGTTATTACATTTTAGTTCCCTGTCTATTCTGTCATTGGTTTCATTGGATTTGTGATTTGTCCTCATGTTACATATATTTTGTGTCTGAGGGTAAATAAAGAATTGAATTGAATTGTTAAAAACATCATACTAGTACATAATAACAGACTTCCCGGTGTCCTAGCACTCCCTTTGTGTTGGGGAGGTGATTGTCCTTGTAAATATATGCTGTAAATACGTTAGTGACACATCTCCATTAATCCTGAAATGGAGTGTACACGGAGTTCTTGAGGGGTGCTCCGAATAACGGAGGAATCTACTTATACCAGTGTGAAGAATGTGATAAATGACATGTCACTTTCAGAGATACATGATAATACACTCTGGTGTTGAACTTATACATTGTGTGTCTTTCAACTATGGAATGATGGATATGTCATTAAACTTTTGGTGTCATGAAATTATGAGAGTGTCATTAAACTGTGGGATTTACTGAATTGAAGATGTGTCAATAAACTGTGAGGGTGTCAGTTAACCTATGGGTATGTCATTAAATTGTGAGTGTCATTAAGCTATGAATGGGTCATTTAACTATCAGTGTTAAAGTATGACATGTATGATGATGCCATTACAAGTATGTAATGTATGATAATGTCATTGAAAGTTTGTAATGTATGATAATGTCATTGAAAGTTTGTAATGTATTATAATGTCATCAAAAGTATGAAATGTATGATAATGTAATTAAAATTATGTAATGTATGATAATGTCATGAAAAGTATGTACTGTATGATAATGTCATGAAAAGTATGTAATGTATGATAATGTCAGTAAAAGTATGTAATGTATGATAATGTCATAAAAATATGTAATGTATGATAATGTCATAAAAATATGTAATGTATGATAATGTCATAAAAGTATGTAATGTATGATTTTATGTCATTACAAGTATGTAATGTATGATTTTATGTCATTAAAAGTATGTAATGTATGACAATGTACATCATGTACATGTATGATACTCAGTAATGTCATTGAAAATATGTAATGTATGACAATGTTATTAAAAGTTTAAACATGTCAGGAGTGTGACACTTTTACAAGAAGTCATGTGCATTCATTTATGATATGAAATAAATAAGGGCAGATACAATACCAAACAATATCTTTCATCCAACCATTATATCTTGACTATGATTTCTTGTTCAATTCTTCCATCTATTTTCATTTTTATGAACAGAATAAGGTACGTCAAATAATTATACCCCGCTTTAAAAAAGTGGGGGTATACTGTTTTACCTCTGTCTGTCCTTCCGTCAGTCCATCCGTCCCATGAATATTTTCGTTGCATTTTTCTCAGGAACTACTTGACAAGGATTTCTGAAATTTGGTTTCAGGGTTTATATAAGTAAGTTACACCGTGTGATGCATTTTCAGATTCATCACTCAACAACTTCCTGTTTACATGTTTACCGAACACTTGTATTATTTTACACATGATAGCCAAGTAGAAAATTTTCGTCACATTTTTCTCAGGAACTACTTGACAAGGATTTCTGAAATTTGGTTTCAGGGTTTATATGAGTAAGTTACACCGTGTGATGCGTTTCAGATTCATCACTCAACAATTCCTGTTTACATGTTTACCGAACACTTGTATTATTTTACACATGATAGCCAAGTAGAAAATTTTCGTCACATTTTTCTCAGGAACTACTTGACAAGGATTTCTGAAATTTGGTTTCAGGGTTTATATAAGTAAGTTACACCGTGTGATGCATTTTCAGATTCATCACTCAACAACTTCCTGTTTACATGTTTACCGAACACTTGTATTATTTTACACATGATAGCCAAGTAGAAAATTTTCGTCACATTTTTCTCAGGAACTACTTGACAAGGATTTCTGAAATTTGGTTTCAGGGTTTATATGAGTAAGTTACACCGTGTGATGCGTTTCAGATTCATCACTCAACAATTCCTGTTTACATGTTTACCGAACACTTGTATTATTTTACACATGATAGCCAAGTAGAAAATTTTCGTCACATTTTTCTCAGGAACTACTTGACAAGGATTTCTGAAATTTGGTTTCAGGGTTTATATAAGTACGTTACACCGTGTGATGCATTTTCAGATTCACCACTCAACAACTTCCTGTTAACCGAACACTTGTATTATTTTACACATGATAGCCAAGTTGAATATTTTCGTCACATTTTTCTCAGGAACTATTTGGTAAGTATTTCTGAAATTTTGTTTCAGGGTTTATATAAGTCAGCTATACCGTGTGATGCGTTTTCAGATTCATCACCCAACAACTTCCTGTTTACCGAAATATTTCGGCGGGGATATCATCAGTGAGCAGTAGCTCACAGTTTTACTTTTTTTTTTTGTAAAAAAATAAAATGTTAGTTAAAGTCAATACGTTGCCAGAAAATGTCTGTGAAGGTGAAATAACATTTTAATGCAAATCTTGTTTAGTATCATAGCTTGGCACAGGTGCATCCAGATGACCCTGAAGTTCCACATCTTGAATACTATGGTTACAATAAGAAAACTACCCAAGTTTGTCAGGAGTGTCACAATTGAGTTAAGATGTTATTTATTTACAAACAATATGTTGTCGAAAGATACCAGAGGAACAGTCAAACTCATAAATCGAAAATAAACTGACAACGCCATGGCTAAAAATGAAAAAGACAAACAGACAAATAATAGTACACAAGAAACAACATAGAAAACTAAAGACTGAACAACACGAACCCCAAAAACTGGGGGTGATCTCAGGTGCTCCGGAAGGGTAAGCAGATCCTGCTCCACATGTGGCACCCGTCGTGTTGCTCATGTTATTACAAACCCGGTAAATAGTCCAATTCGGTAGGTCACATTCATGAAAAGGGAAGGGGATTGTAGTTACGACGCAAGAATATAGTTGTTGTTTTACTTGAATTTCAGTGAATGCAGTTTATCAGTAACAAGCATGCCATTATTGCTTTTGTATGCTCAATACTTCTATGTCAGGAGTGTAACACACAAAAATGTTTTATTTCAATCTTTATATTAGCAAAGGTAATCTATTGGAAGAAACAAGCTGACATTTATTATAAAATGACATAACTACACTTCAGCTTAACACAGAAGACAAGTCTTCATTATAACTTCTGAAGTTTTTGAACTAAAATTGCAATTGAACTAGCTTGTTTAAATGTGTTACACTCCTGACGTACAAGTATTGAGCATACAAAAGCAATGGAGGCTATAATAATGGCATGTTTGTTACTGATCATCTGCAACAGTTGTTCACACTCAAATTCAAGAATAGAAAACCAACAATAACAACATTGTTTCTACAAAAAAAATTACATGAATGTCACACTAAAAGCGTTACACCCTGACATTTTTTGGTACATTTTTGGACAGTATTTTTTATACAGAGCACATACTGCTACCATCTTTAATAGTAAGAACTAATTTATCATAATACATTATCTGACATAAAAACAGCATATATATAGTATCAAACAAGAGACTGACCAATGTTTAAAGGAAAGCCATATTTTTTTTAAATAGACCATGAGCACAATTTGTAAATATGTAAGAAATATATAAAACTTTTAAACCTGTTTTTAATGTGCTCTAAAATTACATGTTTAATAAAAAGTCTCTACATGATTTCCGGTCAGTTGTAGGTTAAAATATGGTAGCAATAAATTCTGGTCAGGAGTGTAACATTTGTTACACCCCTGATAAGTTTCTGATGTAGCTTATCTAAAACAAAATTTAACATGATTCCTTATTACAATCATTGTAACATCTTAACGATGTAATGAGAAAAGTCAATCTGTCTTGGAAGTGATTTTTCTGGACACTTTTTCCTAAGATTATTGTAAAAATTAAAGTGCAATTCACATTAAACATGTTCAAAGTTTGCTCTTCACTCAAAAATTAAAAAAATGTGTAATCAAGTGACTGTGAGATTGTAAATTAAAAATAGATATCACTACTGATTTTATATACATTCCATTAAATAATTACTGAAAAAATATGTCAGGAGTGTAACAAAAGGATAAAAAAAAACAATATATGTGTTTTGTAAATGAAGAAAGCTTGGAATTGACTGAAGCAATTGGTGTGAAATTTTCAGAGGATGTTATGAGATCATATATGTTTGATTTCTTTTAATTTTTATATAAAGTTTAAGCTTTTGCAAAGAGATTTTGTTCTAAGATATTAAAATATACGCTAAAAATTGGTGAAATTTACATATTTAGAAAAAATCCCTGTACATGAGGGACAAAAATGGCAAGAAAATCGTCTTTTACCTTTAACGTAAGAAACACACAAATTAAATTGATACATTTATACTTACTTATGTTTGCAAGTTGATAATAGTATGTTGTTGTTTCCTTTGAAAAGTTGATGAATTCTTATGAGTAAACTGTTCTTACCCATTCATTAATAAAATTTATGTGACCCTAGTAGCTTTCTGAAAAATCTGTATCAAGTCTTCATTTAAACCAGAATTATTACTAAGCTACTCTATACCAGAAATTGTGAAATACACAACACTGGTAAGTGTGGATGTCACCACGCTAAACAAAAACCGATTCATTAATAAAATCCGTCGCCCTAGTAGCTTTCCGAAAAAGCTGTATCAAGATTTCATTTAAAGCAGAATTAATACTAAGCTAATCTATACCAATATATATTTAACACTGATACTAGAATTCATTGCGCATTACTATATGGTAAGTGTGGATGTCACCACGCTATACCAGGTTTGAATTAAACAAAGGAGGTCAATTTTAACATCATAGCCCTCGTGAAAAATAGAATACTTCTGTGGCTCCGCTCTGAATAATCATAGGACACTCTTATCCCAGAGGAAACTAGATCTGGCATTTACAACAGATTATTAGTCCCCTACCGACGAAATCGAAGGGGACTTTAGGTTTGCACTCCGTCCGTCTGTCTGTCCGTCTGTCCATCCATCAGTCTGGCAAATCAGTTTTCCACACTTTCTATCTTCGTTTTTGAAGGTATTGATTTGATATTTGGTATATAGATTTATCATGACAAGTTATAGATCAAGTTCGAATTTTGTTCCGGTCTGATGATTTAGTCGAGAGTTATCATGGTCCATATCTAATGTTAGAGTACTACATTTTGTATGTTAAACCATATCTCTGATAAGGAGATAACTCATTTTTTTTTAAATTCTTTGGTAAATTGTTTGAAGAATTTTTGGCAGGTTTGTTTGTTTTCTGAATGCTATATAATTTCATATAAAAAAAATTATGAAGTGAAATCCTTTAATTAGATAATAATCTATTTTTATTAAGGTATATATTTCATTACATTACATTTTGTATAGATAAAAGTTGTTGACATTTTATAGATCATTGATACAAATCTATATTAGTTTGTGACAAATGAAAGAAAAAATATTTGGAACTATTAATAAAATTTCGATTATAATTTGAAAATAGACATACAAATGTATTACATCATATCTAATTTTAGAGAACTATTAATCATATCTAATGTTAGAGTGTTTTCCACACTTTTTTTCATCATGCTTGAAGATATTGATTGATAATTGGTATATAGTTTATCAGGACAAGTTACAGATCAAGTTCAAATTTTTGTTTCGATTTGATAATTTTGTGCAGAGTTATGGTTCTTGGACTTGAAAAATTCACTCATATAATTAGTTTTCCACACTGTTTTTCGTCATGCTTGACGATATTGACTTGATATTTTCTTTTTGTTTACACCATGACAAGTTATAGAACACGTTTTGTTCCAGTATAATGAACTTTTACCCGGTAGGGGACTATGTATTGCCATGCAATACTCTCGGAATGCTTGTTGAATTAGATTTTCTCAACACTACACTGCTAAACAATTAAAATAAATATCAGATATTAGACTCAGGTGTTGTGGTAAGTGTGGATGTCACCACGCTTTACCAAAAATATCCTTATAATACAGGAAATTTTAAGCTGATTGCATTTCTTCTATCTCAAACACAGCTGGTTGCATAATTACACAGACCTTTCTTACCGTGGACACTTT